TATAACTGTATATCTATATTGTGTTGTAACATGTAACATGGGTTTTATGATCATAAACATATATGTACATATATATACATACATAATAATATACATACCTATATATATATATATATATATATATATATATATATATATATACACTCCCGACTGATCCGATCATATTTGTACAATAATCAATAATACAACACCAAAACCGAACACAACCTCCACTAAAAAAAAAATCTTACGCTCAATTCGCCTCACGTCATCACTTGCCTGTTTGGTTCGGACCTCTAAGAAATTAAAATAAATATGTGTGTCTTAATCAGCTTAATAAATTGGAAAGATATAGGGTCAAAGAAATGTGTTAGTATCTACTTGTAGCTCAACCAATAAGGATAATATGTGCTTTTAAAATTAAATTGTAATACTTACTAAATGTAGGCATACCTGTAGTAAACAAGATGTAGGATATAATTTGTTTCTCATTTTAAAATAAATCTTTAAATAATTGTACACAGAAAGGGAAAAAAATCAAAGCCGGAAATGTATTTACAAGGCTTCACCTTTAAAGTATATTCTCGAAATTGGTAACATATGTTCATTTTTGCATTTTAGCACATTATTAATGTAACTTAAAAATTAAAACGGATGGTGTGGTCGTTTGGTAGAGCGTTCATCTTCTTGTTCTTATTCTTGTTATTGTTCTTGTTTATGTGTATGTTCTTTTTTCGTTTTGTTTTTCCTTCTTCATTATAGTTCTTTTTCTTGTTCGTTACATATTCAAGGTCACGGTCACGGTCACGGTCACGGTCACGGTCATGGTCATGGTCATGGTCATGGTCATGGTCATGGTCATGGTCATGGTCATGGTCATGGTCATGGTCGTGGTCATGGTCATGGTCATGGTCATGGTCATGGTCATGGTCATGGTCATGGTCATGGTCATGGTCATGGTCATGGTCATGGTCATGGTCATGGTCATGGTCATGGTCATGGTCATGGTCATGGTCATGGTCATGGTCATGGTCATGGTCATGGTCATGGTCATGGTCATGGTCATGGTCATGGTCATGGTCATGGTCATGGTCATGGTCATGGTCATGGTCATGGTCATGGTCATGGTCATGGTCATGGTCATGGTCATGGTCATGGTCATGGTCATGGTCATGGTCATGGTCATGGTCATGGTCATGGTCATGGTCATGGTCATGGTCATGGTCATGGTCATGGTCATGGTCATGGTCATGGTCATGGTCATGGTCATGGTTAATCATCATGGGCATGGGCATGGGCATGGGCATGGGCATGGGCATGGTCATGGTTATGTAGTGGTTTTTGTATTTGTTGCTTTTTGGGGTTAGGTTTAGAGCTAGGTTTCAATTTATAATAATTTCCTAAAATATTTGCAAATTGATTTTAAATTGGAAACCTAGTATATGTATTTTCAAAACCCGGACAGCGCCCGGTATTTGCTGCATAATAAACGCACAAACAAAAGTTCTGTACGGATAAGTTTTTCACAGAGGCCAGTGCAGGAATGACTTTGACGGCTAGAATACATCTAATTCGTTAAGATAGCGTTTAGAAAACTTTGTATAATTAATTATAATATAAACGAAAATACAGCATTTCTATTTTCGTTTGTGATTTGTTACAAATTTTCAAAAATAGTTAAATAAATAGGATTTTTTTCAGACCATTGTAGAGTTTTAGACTATTTAATGCTCAAATAAAAAAGAATTCATTTTATTTTTTAGTAATAAACAAGAGTGAAAGTTTAAGGTTCATCTTTAAATGTAAAGTTAATACTTACGCCGACGTGGAGGAGCTGCAATACAATTGAGTATTATAGTTAAAGCGTATTTAGAAAATATAACATACCTATCAAAACGTATAAACATGTATGAAAGTATAACATCCTACGCCACAAATAACATCTTCTTACATACATGTTCCCGACAAATCCCTACAAGTCTTCACGTCAAGCTTTCTTAAAGATTATTACCTCCCCACCCCAAACCCCCTCCGTCAAACATCGTCACAAAAATCCAGACCCCCCCCCCCCTCACCCCCCACCCTCCAAAAAAAAATTTAAAAAAATAACGTCTACAACATAGAGTATTTTAATCAATTTCTTTTACAATTTATTAAAACAGTTTACTAAAACGCGAAGTAATGGCTAAAACTCGTTTTCTTACCTTGATTTTTTATATTGCAAAAGTGTAACGTTAAACCATCTGAACCCCCCTCCCCCATCACAATCCTTCACAAGATTACAAACCCACCCATATTCTGGACGAGTGTGACGTCATTTAAGGGCGACCCATTATTTTTTAGTTGAATACATAGAATACAATTATTTTCATATAAAAATGGTCAATATGTTTCAGTAAAGTACACTGAATGTTCATATGTTCATATTAAAATGCTATAGGCGTTTCAATGAATATGTGAAGTGAATGTTAATCATATTTTCATATTACAATGATCAATAAGTTATAGTAAAAATGTACAT